TATGAGATGGGGGCCCCCGGCCACTGCCTCCCATTGGCCTCTCGCTCAGTTTCTCAATCTCTGCTTTTGTAAGTATTTCATATTTACTCTTATTTTCTTCTAGATTTTTTTTTTTTTTAATTTACTGCTTCTACATTTTACCTGTTTTTTTGGGTATGGTCTGGATGAAGGGAGTAAGCAGCTCTGCATAGCTCCCACTGTACCCCATGATCCAGAGTGCAGAAGTCGTCCCAGAAATTATGAAGAGAACCTGGTACTTACCAATACAAAATCTCGGTATGTTTCGCACCGATACCCAACAAATCCATTTGGAGTGATAATACTCTCAGCATAATACCGGAGACTTCTTTTATGTCCACATCCAATAGATCTGTATGCTGGGAAATAGCCCAGGTCAAAAAGATTAAAGCAATACATTAATGTAAAATCCACGCCAAAGCAACTCTTGTGGGTCTTTTTCCTCAGAAGCATTTGTACATATGGTGACATCTCACATTTAAGAACAGTTGTAATTAAAAGACGTTTAAAGTATGAATTACTTGGTTTTACAGTAGAAAAATGTACTTATGGCAGTATGTATTTTTTATCAATGGGGAAGAGCTAGGTTCTAATTGGCATGTCCCTGTGCTCCTGCTGAAGTTAACAGAGGTGGAGATGCACTAAGGTGGACCTTGTGCAGCCTCCCATTCTGCTATGTGTACATCACTGCTTTACTTTAGCAGGAGAAACGAGGAGGATTTAGGAGAATTTCCCTTTGATATTTCAAAGACTGGAATAATTCATGTTTGTAAAGCGCATAACAGTTACTATGAAGGCATATTCATTAGCTTACCATATCACAATGTGATATTTGTAAAAGTACAATTTCAACTCATTTCTCGAATTAAAGGCAATTGTAGTAATTCTTTAAACTTCAGTGGCTTTCAGTGTTTTAGAGATCTAGAAAATCCGTGGTCATTTGACAGTGGCAATACTGTGAAATGCTCTGAAAAGCAAGGTATTTGAAACTGGGTCCTTGATTTTGTCAGATTTATTTGAAAAAAAAGTATGTTTTCCCCATCAGAGTGGAATTTATAAGCAGTCAGTGGAGGAAAAAGAAAGTACTATTTATTTACAGGTCCCTTGTAACAAGTATATTCTTCCTTGGCTCTGAAGTCTCTCCCATATCAAAGCACAATATACTAAAGTCAGCTTTTATAAAAATAGGCTCTACTCTGCTTCAGCATGTGTGTGGCCTCATCTAAACACAGGGTGAAGTCTTGGAAGCATGGAAGTAAATTGAAAGCTTGTGCAGTTTACAGCAAAATCAGAATTTCACCTACTGGCAATATTCACACATCTTGAAGACAGACCAGCTGGTATTGACCAGTTGACACACATTGTTCTTTACATAAGAAAAGAACAAAAACCTTCTGAAAAGTATTTTTTTCCTGTTCTTTCTTGAAAATAATATGCATCATTAAGGCTTCCTGAGTATGTTTTCTTTATAGTTTCATCTTTAAACCTAATTCTGAAGGTCTGTGCTCTTAACTTCGAAACTTCATCTCTTATGGTTGGGTTACTTTGTGCTAGTGCCAAATTCACTTAACATTTATACAATCGGAATGTTATACTCCTCTCCCTACTGTATTGAAAGCTGTAGAAAGAAGTTACTAAATAGCATTTCTAAAGCACTTCATGCATAAAAGCACTACATAAATGTAAATACTATCAAACAGAAGAGATATGCATAAAGGAAGGTGTAACCGAGAGTCAGGAGTTAAGGCTGTTTCTATTTTTAGAAGCCGCATGAACAACCATCTGCTTGTGTTCAATAGAGCTGAGCTCCTCCTTCACCGTGAAACATGGCAAAAGACATTCTTACACACTCCTCTTGGAAAGCAGTTTGGTTCCAAGTGACTTTGTGCACAGCCAGCTTTTGGTCCTCTTTATTAGTAAGTTCTTCAACCAGTTCTAAGAATATTTTTGAAAGCCAATTATTTAACTAGTGGTAAGGATTTCAAAACATTTAGCTGTGAATAACAGATGTTCTCATTTCTGTAGGTTAGGATCAGAAGACGGGATTTTGGGTATCTATTGTGCTGGATCCCAGGGTAATTCTGATTAACTGCCCAGCTTTCTTTGAAGAACATGAACTATCAATGGAGCAGTCATTTTATCATCTTCTGTATTTTTAACCTTGTGCTGTTCCCTTTGAAGCTGTTAATGGCAATGATAAGTATGTCTAACCCCAGTAATATTGGGATTGGTGTCTTTCTAGGGAGAAGTGAAGCTCAAATTTTAAAATACTCATTTTTGGATTATCCTCGAATGAAATTTTATCAGTCCTTCATGTGTGGAATTCCCACTGAGGTCAGTCTGTCAGCACAGTGGCAGGCTCTTACAAAGGTTGTGATGAACAAGTCTGCATGTTTTAACAGAAGTTTCCATCTGGAATTTGCCTTGGCTAGTAAAAAAGGAAATTGGGGGGCATTTCACAGGCAGCATTTATGAGCATTCTCTCCCTACTCTAAGTCTGAGCTATGTAAATAATATATACAGTCAAAAGGATTCATCCTAGCTTAGCCTTTATTTTCAACTGTAGCTTATATTCACCTCTCATAAGGTCATTGATATTCCGAGTTGCGGGAGGTACACGAAGCTGCTTGCATCCTGGCATCTTCTTCCCACCATTTGGATAAAAATCCAGGTGTCCACAAGTCTGAAGAATCCCTGGAGCTGAAATGCAGCGTGATTCAAGGCTGGTCACTCTTGGGTACGCTTGTGATCATCCTCCATGTTGGTGTCAGCCTTTGAGTGAAAACTTACCAAAGTCAAAGAAAAGATGACCAGCATGGGTATGAATTATATCAACAAATTCTGCGTCTGAAGGATCCAGCCTAACTGTAGTGGGAGTATACTGGAAAAGGGGCCCAGCCGGATCCAAACCTAAATAAACAGAAATACAGCTAAGTTAAGAGTACTATATGAATGTCATCACATACAGTGTGGGCACAATGTAAGTCATTACATTTCTGCCTTTACTCCACATATAAAAATGCATTTTGTGGTCCACAGCCAGCAGAATATGCAGGGTTTTAACAGAAAGGTGACTGGAAGCATTGCAGCACAGTAAAATACTTAGAGGGACCTGGCTTACTTTTGCAGAACAGTGTTATAAAAAGTGGTTTGGGTTTTTTTTTCATGTTAGTGAAAAATATGGAATCTTGATATGTTACTCTGAGCATGTGGCTTTGTTTGAGAAATTTTATTCAGTCAGAAATCTTTTTTTTATTTCCAAAAGAGCTTGATTTTAAATGTTAACCCTCCTCTTCAGCATCAGTGAGCTCTTCTTGAGGCTAAAGCACACAATCCTGACCCCAGTTTCTCCTGAATTGCTACTGTGTACACAGTTTAGTCAAAGCAATGTGCAGAGAAAAGAACTGAATAGAGGGAAAAGGAAAGGATAAAAAGAGAGAGGTTTAAAAAAACCAATGTGTGAGGGTATCATGCCACTTTGTCTCTCTGTGTAGCTTTGTGGCTAACAGCTTTCTTCTTTGTCAGGGTGTCCATGGTTATTTACTGTCTCCTCCTGATGTATGAGATCTAGATTTTCAATCTTTAGGAAAATTTCAGACTTTCCATCTTTTGAACTACTGAAAAGTGGGCTTTTAAAACCAGATATGATAATGAGTTGCTAGTGTTTTACAAGTCTTTTATTTCATGTGTAATACAGTAGTTTGTTCCTGTTCTTTTATAACATTAAAAAAGTCTTAACCAAGTGCTCCCTGGCACTTGTTGTGACCTGTGAAAAGTCACCTCTATTTAGCTACAGTCGAGCCATTTAAGCCTTTCTGTTCTGTCGTGGTCAAGCCTTTCTTAGAGCTGTGGAGGCTGACGTGTGAAATGCATGGCATATGAATAGGGCATGGCTTCTTTTGCATGCTGTCATGCTAGCTGTGTACTGTTAATTATGACAAACCAGCACACTGTGGTCTGTATTCTGTCTTTATAAGGCAGCAGTGATTCTTCAGTTCAATTAAGTTGCATGAAAATACAAAGCTTCAGCAACTGAAATAGCTTCAGTACCTGTTATTCTTCCGATGCCAGGTTTCCTTCTCCCTGCCTCTCCTGCAGCATGTGCTCCAAGACTGTGGCCGATGAAGTGAATGTTGGCAGGAGAGTAGCCATAGTCTTTCTGCGAAGTTGTATGGAAAGGAAAAAAAAAATATTAAGGTGGAAGGGATACAAGCCTGTTACACTGAATCACAGCCCTGGACAGGGCCAGACCAGTGGGCGATGGAGCAGAGTGTCTTGGGTGGGAAGCTCGAGGATCTGTACCCAAAGGGAAGCAATTCTCTACTCATCCCATCCCTGGCTATAGCATGTCCCTGGAAGGGAGTAACCTCTGCCAGGAAATTGGCCCTTGTGACAAAAAAAAAGAACGGGAAAAGGGAGTTTCTGGATATAGAGGAATGACCCAAGTTCTTCACCCCTGAACCTGTCTGTCTCATCAGGGTAGTGATCTGTGGTGGAGGAGCTTCCAGCGCCCTTGTCTGTGGCGTGCCCTCTGTGTGAACCAAGCAGCCGCCCTGCTGGGGAGATGCTCCACCCCGCAGGTCCTGCAGGATGCGGAGGGCTATGCCAGGGCTGCTGGTGTGCTGGGCTCTCCTGAGCTTCTGCAGGGAAAACCTGATGTTGGTGGCTGCAGGAGAGTCACCTCTCATGCTGCAGTTCAGTTCTTGCAGGAGGCAGCATGTGTGACCCAGAGAGGGATGTTTTAACCATATTGATTCTCTGCCACCATTCTTCACTCGGACAGTGTCGCCAGACAGTCTCCAATCTGAGCCTGTCAGGAGCAAAACATTCAGAAACTATGGCCTGTAAGCCTTTAGGAACATGCTTATCTGTGGCCTGACACTGGATAGGTATTTCCATTTGTGCGGGTTTAGGGATTTTTAATGCTATTTCCATGCGTTTCTCTGTACTCCGTGACTATTTCTTCAAACCTAAAGGTGACACCCTGAACTCAGCCTTTACCATACAGACTATGCACCAGTCTCCATGTTCCACAGATACCTCAAGGAGGTTCACCAGATATACCAGCTCAGCCCCCACAATGCGGACGTTGTTAACCGCGTCGGTGTACAAACCGCTGGAGCCGCCTGTCCATTCAGTCAAAATGCAGTTCACGTCTTCAGTGTGAAACATGAACTGGTGAAGAACATGAGAACAGGAGAAAAGAAGCAAACAGACATGAATTACAGTTGTAGCAGGGCACACGCAAACAATATTTAGTTTTGTTATAGCTGAGGACTCGTCTACGTGACTGGTGAAGACCCATCTTTAGAATATTAATTCCTGCTAATACTGAAGAATCAACACAAGGAGGCAGAGTGGAGACAGGGATTTGAACGCTGTGAAAGACATGCAGGAGCTTGCTTCCGTCCTGGTTTTCATTCCAGATGCTTTGATTGGCTTTAGGATATCAGCTTCTCTTAAGGACAGTACCCCAGTTAGAAAAAGAGAATACTATGACTTCTTTATTATTGACCGAGCTTTATTCTTCAAAATTTATATGCTCGGATCAACTAAAAGGATTCACAAATTTATGTGCACGTTTTAATTGTTTTGCCCTGTATTTCATGTATTTTAACCAAAATATTCTATGTGCACATAGAATACACGTGGCAATGAAACATTATGATTTTTCATTCTGAAAAAAATCATTTTTGTTTTCATTTTATTTACTCATATTTCAATCTGCTGAACAAAGCATTTTGTCTTTATTAGGTCAAATGCCTCACTCAAACTGAAATGTTTATTTTGACTTTTTGCTGAGGTGCGAAAAGTGATTTTTTTCCTCCTTTGTTGTTGGCAAGGAATTGAAAAATAAATTACTTATAACTCTCCCTGTGGAGGTGAAAGCACGAAAAGGACATTTAGCAGAAGGCTGAAGTGCACTATACCCATAGCCAGGAGCGAGAGAGCAGTCACGTGGGACTGAGGTTCACTCTGATTTTTTTTTCTCCCCTCATATATTCCCTGAATTAACAAGAGAACAGAGATGTAAATTTTATGTGGGAATTTTAAGCTAGTTAATGCTGTGGTGTGGATATTTGTGCTTTCAAATACAAGCAAAATGACTGTCAGGCAATAGTCATACCGTACCCTGCACATATTTGTTATCCAGGGGAGGTCTCCTCCAGCAAGATGGCCATGTATAATGAAGCGAGTTCTCCTGTGTGTTCGGAAATTTGAAGCTTTGATCGTTGAAGAGTTTGTAGCAGAAATTTTCTGTTTCAAAAAAACCCAACAAACAAGTAACACATCAAGGATGTGACTGCTCCATCCCCGTGTACATTTGGACAAAGGGCAGAATATTCCCATGGTTAGGGCATAGTTTTGGACTCTGAAGGGAGGGGTCTCGTTCATCACTTGTAAAGTGCCTTGCTGGGATATATCAACTAATCACTTCAACAAATGACTCACTTCCTCTAGTTAACTGAAGTAGTGATACTGGCATCCTTTGCCCAATGCTTTGAGTGCTGGTACATCATGCCATGTAAATACCAGATTTTATCAAACTTGGCTGTAAAAATACAAAGATAGCATCTTCTGCAAGGTATATATAGTTCACTTTGAATCTATACCTACTTTTCTTTCTTTCTTTCTTTGAAGACATTCATTGCTGAGCTTATTTAGATTTTATTAGAAAGACCAATAGGTTTAAAACATCAGAGGCTGTAGGTATTTGGGGTTCACTGAGAAGGCATTAATTTCTTTTAAAGAAATTCTGAATACTAGGCTGTTTTCAAACTTGGTTCTTACTTATTTTTTTGTTATGGTTTCTTAAGCTTGTAAGGGGATGTCACGCACTAATTAGCACACACCTCACCTTCAGTGAAAGACTGATTAAAGTTAAAAGACGGACTAAAGCCAAAACCTCTTAGGGCCTCTCAGCTAGAGATGTTGGACTTGTTCTGTGGTGGATCAGATGGGAGAAATCATTAAACAACTCAACTGTTTGCAGCTTCCATTTATATGGAAAACAACTGTGAAGCCTTTTTCCTGTAATATAATCCAACAAGAGCAACAAATTTCTCCCCACCCATCTTTTCATCTTAATTTACTTATTTTTTCTTGCTTTTTGTCCAAGTAAAATTTACACTCTCTAGCAGTCATTTCTTCTCTTTCACCAGACTAGTCTATAGATCCACAAAACTGTTTCATTCTGTGGATGAGTCCACCCCAGACACCTCCAACACCTTGAGCATCCTGCTATGAGCTTTTCCCAGTTCTTGTTGATCTTTAGAGGAAAGGGCTGACACACTGCTGGAATACTTCAGTGTGTTCCCATTTGATCCATCCTAAACAACCCTGCAGGCTCCTTTTAGCTACTTCAGTTTCTCTTTCTGTCACAGTCCAGAGGTGCTTCTCACTGCTCCTCTTTTGCAGGTGTTGTGGATAACGTCACCTTTTACTTTTTTTTCTTCCATTCTTTCTGCTTCTCTACCTGATGTGTCTTTGTGAGGGACTGATAGCATGGTTCACCTCTCTGAAAGACAAACCTTCAAGCTCTCTCCATGGTATATCTTACCAACTCTTTTTCTTTAGCTTTTTAGTCTCCGTTTTCCCTCAGTGACAGTCTTCCATAAAATGTTTCATTTTTGTTTATTTTCTTTACCTAGCCCCATTTCATTCTCTTTTTGGTTGTTTCCTTCTTTTTTCACATATGATTTCATTCTCTCTTTTGTATTTTCTTTAGTCTCCTGTTTCCCTTTCTAAGTTTTCCTTTATTTTTCTTCCTATTTTCTTTCCTTTTCTGATCTTCGCTCTTAACTATCTGCCTGCTCTTAGGGCTCAGTGTTGGCCACCACATAAGCAGAGCCTCTCAGATCAGTCGTATGTAGATCAGGGGACCTAGATACCATGTGTATGAACAGTATCCCTGAGTTGCATATCTGGGCCTGAAACATGTCTTTAATCTTGAGACACACACGAGCCAAAACTGAGCTTTCCTTTTGTACTGCCTTCCCTCTGGCTTTATAATGTTAAACCTGAAACTGAATTTGGGCCATTAGCTCAATGCAGAGTAGGATATAAAATATATCCAAAATATCTTAGATGATTTGTGTTAGAAGGCTGCCATTAATATGTTCTAAATATACCCGTCTTGTCGGAGAGTTGAAATCAGGAAAAAGGAAAAAAAGATGGAAGAAAATTACAATGGACAGTTTGTGTGTCATACAGAATTGGGGCTTTTCCTGAGAGACTTTTGAGCAAAAATACAGGAGAAAAGAAACTGGCTTTATAATTTGTTGAATGTGTTGTATACTATGAGTATTTTAGAAAAAAGCAGTTTCTTACTTGATGTTTCATGATGTTGTCTCTAGTGTAAAGAAGGAAATTGGTGTTCACATCTTCTGGAGAGCTGGGCAAGCCTGCCAGTTGTCTCTCTGGGATGCCAGACCAAGGGGGGCTATCTGTAAAGCATCCAAGCCTTTCATAGCAAACTTCCCTCCCTGGGGTACACAAAGAAAAAAGTTAGTCTTCTGGGAATGTAGGAGGTTAGGCTGCCACCACTTTAAAAGAAGCTGGCAGGATGGGTTTTATTCCAGGGAAGAAGAAAATGAGTGATTCAGATTAGGCTGGCACTTGTGTTAAGCTTTCATTAAGGGGCTAAGCTGTGCTCTTGTGTCTTGTGTGTAGCAGGAAATGGAACGTCAAGACT